ACTACCCGGAGTGCAAAAACAACCCTCTCGAGGCAGAATTGCGACACGCGGCCTTTTGGAAGGAGCAGCCGCCATTCGTCCAAGCCACATGGGCTCAATCAAATACGGATGGAGAAGCCCATGCTTTGAGGGCGGCATCAAATGGTGGAAGCTTCCACTCAATCCGGTGTGACTTGGTGCGCCTCAGGTCCTCAAGTTGATGCCCAGCATCGGAGAAGAGTAGCCCAGCGCGGCATCCGTGTTAGTGCCTGGAGGCTGGAGGGATGGCAGGCAAATTGCAGCGGCGGCGTGGGTGGTGCCACTTGCACTTGTGTCGAATGTGCACGCGCAAAGGCCGTTCTCAAATTAGCCCTGTCGTTTCAGTTGATTACACGCAATGCCGTTTTGCACGGCCAAGTATTGCTGGCCAGGGGTGCTCTTCAATCAACACACCAACATATCACACAAACAAGACCAGGAGGTTGAGGAGCAGCCCAAGGTTTACACGTATGGGCCCCGTGGCTTTACTGAGGTCCTCAGGATCTTCTTCGGTGTCGAAGCAGCGCTCGAAGATGCGCTGTGCGAGGTTTGAACCCAACGGAACTTCCTGTGCTGCCTGCGCTGCCTGGGCCGCCTGCGCCCTCTGGGACTGAGCTGCGGCAGCTGCCAAGCGGAAGGCCAAGGGCCTGGGAATTGGTTTCCCAGCATCCACGTGGTGCAGAAGCCGCTGGAGATCATAAGGATTGCCTGCATTCGTGAAATGCGCCTCGTGGTGCTGAAAGAGCTTCACCGCAAAGGAGTGGGGTGAAGAGTGTGGACTCTGGCCTACAATAAGGCTCCCCACGGATTTGATGTGGCCAACAAAGGTCTCCGGCGCAGCTTCGAAGGTGTCTAAGGCAGCAAGCCCCGTGGCTGCTGTCTCAATGAGCTCATCAGAGAGGTGTAGCTGGTGTCTAGGCAGCACTCGGAGGACGTCCTGCATCTCCCTAACAACGTCTTCTTGACCAAAGTGCCCCGCAGCCTTTGAAAGCTTCGTAGCCAGCTGGAGCTCAAAGTTTTGGCCGGCAGAAAACCGGAAGGATCTTGCAGCCGCCATAAGCAGACTTAAAGAATCCAGGTACACGGCAGCCTCCATCACCAAGCAGAAGTCTTGCCAATTGCCCAACGGCCAGGGGGGACCCGCACCTCACAAGCAGCACAAGCAGCACACCAGAAGCCAAGACCAGGGCTGCCCTCTCCCCAGACAACCCAAACAACTAAGCGAAACATCAGTGTTGGTTTTCTTGCTTCGCGTAGCATTTGGAGCAGGCAAACCAGCTCATCGCCAGACTGAAGGCAGCACGGCCCCCCGGGAAGTCATGAAAACGGTAGGTCTCGCCGCTTGCGGGTCCAGTCTGCCAGTCCTGCCACCCATGTCGCATTGCAGCTGCGAAGTATCCCGAGTTGGCTTGCAGGAAGTGACGTTGGCAATCAAAAGCTACATCACCAAATGCGATCTTCACATCGCATGGCTCCACCGGCTCAATCAGCGGCGCCACGTAGAGGTCCTGAGACTGAGAAGACCGGCAAAGGTAAACAGTCTTCTGACAATTGAGCAGGTGCTCACAACCGAGTTGCCGCCCCACGGTCGAAGAACCCATGGCTTCGTCCTGTGAAGCCGACGATGGGCCACGTTCACGACATTGATTGCTTGAATTTGCGTTTCTGCTGTGGTGCAGGCATTCCTTCGAGCAGCTCATCTCGGCGGGACTTCCTGCATATTCGAAGTCAGGCGCTGCCGTGCGATTGAGAAGTCACACTGCTGCTGACGCCTGAATGTGGCCTGTCCCTTTCGGACAACAAACCCGCCGAAGCCCAAACCTTGGTGTCAGGCCACGAAAGGTGCAAGGTAGCTCGTCTTCAAACGGACTTGCGCCAAGGATCGAAGACACTCATGCTTGCACAAGTCCACGTCCTCCTTGGTATGCAAATACCCTCAGCTCTCCCCTTCCTCATGCCCATGATGCTCACAAAGTCCCCTGCTGTAGAAGTCCCTGGCTTTCCCTCTGCCCCTTGCACCCACTCTATGGCTCATGATTCGTGCAAGAAGCAATTCCTTGCTCAGTCCGGGGAGGCCGTGTCCGTGGAGGCCAGTCGGCTCTATGAGATGCTGGCTGTGACTCTGCAGGGAGAACGCTCGGGCTGTCCTGCGGCGTCTCCCTGAACCTGCGCCAGTCCCTGGCCCAGGGGCCCGCCTAGCTGCACCCTAGTCGGCCACACTTCTTCCGTTGGCCTCCGCTTGGGTCCGTCAAGCTCAGCCATGCCTTACCCTCGCTCCCCGCTCAGCCAAGATGCGGTAGAGCGTCGCTGTACATAGCTGGGCGTGCCGTTGGCGAGTGGCTGTTCCCCCTAAGGCCAGTCGCCAACAGCTCGCCCTGCCTGCCCGGGCCGACCTTTTTCCCCGCCCCACTGAATGCCTACCCTCTTCCGCCTTCAGTGGGGACGTGCCTGCTGCTTCAACCAAATTTGAGCAATACCTTTGGAGACCCTCTGTGAGGACTTGCTTCGACAACAAACGCTGTGTTCCAGGACATTTGTAAAGGCACTGGGATGGTCTAGCACTGCCGGCACTGCCGGCACTGCAACTCTAGGGTTATGTTGCACATGTTGCACATGTTGCACATGCATCCCTCCGAATCCCTCCTATGTGAACATGGCTGAGGTCTCTCGTCTAATTAAAGCATTAGCCTGGAGAGAGCCCAGGAACATGATGCCGTGCTGTTTACCGAATTGCCCCGTTATTGCCCTGCTCTCCGTACTTCCCGGGCAGTTTGCACGCGTCACCTCTCGCTTTGCGAGCCTTTGCGCGATGGCAGTGGCAAGGCGACAAGGATGCGAAAAAGGCCTTTTGCCTTTTGCCTTGACTGCCTCTTTTTGTTCGAGCCGCCGTTTGGAACGGCCAGGCCAACCTGTTGGAACTTTTTCCCAACACGAAGCACGAACAGAAGCAGCTGCTTGGTGCTTGAGGGATTCTAGTTTAAACCAGATATTTCTAGTCTGAATGTCTTCGACTCCAAGCTCTCAAATCAAGTCTCTGGAGTCTTTGCTGGAAGCCCATGCCCAGGAAGCTCGGCTTCAACATCCGAGTTTGTGAAATACTCCCAGTCCATCAACAGCGCCAAGGTGCGACCGCTACATCATGAGATTTCGTGCCCTTCGAACTACAGAGCCGAAACTGGCAATCTGCCAGCCCTCCAAGGTGGCCAAGATTCACGGACAAAGATCATCATGCGCGCTGGAATGTACTACGTTAAGCATCACAGCACATGCAAAGAAAGCTCGTACTCTTTTGTGGCCTGAATGGCCTTGAGCAGACTAAACTGCACTGCGCACTGATCCCCACTTCACCCCATTCGGGGACGGAGATCGATGCGGTTCCTGCAGTTTGGGGCGAAGCTGCAGATTCGTTGATGTCCGATGGCTGGCCTTAGGCGTTCCGTGCGCCCACGTCGATCACCCTGCCATTCCGCAAGGCCCGCAGAGGGTTGAACCTGCTTACGCGCGGGCAGCGAAGTGGAGAAGTGAAAGGAAGTGAAAGCATGAAAGGTAAAGCCACGAGCACTGCTGCTTGCGTCGCCTTGCGAGCGCCTGCATGCTGCCGTCCGTATTCCTCAAGACACTTCTCTGGCAAATTTCAGCTTTTCCAAGTTTGGGTTTCTTAGCTTGTCCTTTCGGAGTGCTCGAAGCGAACGCGCAAGTCCTCAAGCTCAAGGAACAACAGCAACAAGCCATACTCACAGCTCATCTGATGTATCGAACTCTGTTTAAAAGCTTTCCAGCAAGCAGGCCGGGGTGGCCTGCTGATTCTAGATATTTCTCAGGCTGATTCTAGGGTTCTCTGCCAAAAAGTGCAAATGGCAGCAGAAGACCCAACATCAGTCCTCAGTCCGGGTTTGTTCTGCCTGGTTCCCATCCAGGTGAATGTTCAGAAGGACCTTCAGCTCAAACCGGACGACAAGTGTCATTCCAGGATGATACATCCTGTGCGCAATGCCGGCCAAAAGTACCTTCGGCTGACCTAAGAGCATGTAAAGCATCAACGGGTCAGAGGGAGAAGCCAGAGCCAAGGACGTGAAGCAGCCATGTCGTGCCGATCAAGGTCCAGTCTCAAGCATGCACTAGCTAAGCTGGCGGCACGCGACAACGCTGTGCTGGCAACCTCAAAGGCTCCACCTCAGGCATACTTCTTATCCTTCCAACATCTTCCAACCTCACACTTCCCCTGTCCTTCCATGATTCCATGCAGCACTTAAAGGAATATTGAAAGGCATATGGAGGCCTGCAGGCAGGCCGATTTGTGGTGCCTTCGTCAGGGCCGCAGCACGGACCTGCACGTGCGAAACAGCACGTGCTCTAGGTGACTTGGGGTCTTGTTCAGGGGAATCTCAGCAATTATCTTCCTCCCTGTAGTCAAGTTGCTGTGGCCCCACCCACAAAACGCAGTCTGCGTTAGTGGGGCCTCGCCCAAGAGAGTCCGAATATGCTGCAGAGTGGCTGCTGGTGTTCACTCTGGATACTACATTACATGTTCCCTCGGAGCAGGCCAAGTTTCTCCACCTGGCGACGTTAATAGCTTGCGCCCTTCATTTGGAACATAGTTGATACTCTGGCTCAGATAGATGGCGCCGCGTGGAGCAGGTCGGGAGCCGGGGTGCAAAGAAAAACAATTTGAATTTGAAGCATCTGTGAGCCGCAGCTTTGCCTAGCAGCTTAGCAGCTTAGCAGCTTAGCAAGCTCTTCATCTCGTCACCACTCCACTGAGTGGATTCCGTTAATTCATGACTCTTAGAGCACACGGTGGCTTCTCAAGGAGATAAGAGAATCTGCACGTTGCCAAACTGGGTGTTCGCCTCATTATGTTGGGAGTCCTGCATTGTCACAACCGTTAAGACTGAACTTGGCCCCGCCAACATGTCCAGAGTTTACCAGTACACACCTGCCGGTGCAACCGTGCAAGCCCACCCCCCCTTGGATTCGCGCTGGCCGGAACCGTACATGTGCAGCTTGGGCTTAGCCGCCGCTTGGCACCCAACATCCGAACGGCCGAATCCAACACGGAAGGATCTATGGCTTAGTGTGGCTTTTACAAAATCTCCAGACCATCTCTCAATGCCAATTGGGAATCCTGCGGCACTGATCCCGATGGTTTCCTAACAGCCCCCCCCTTCAACTCACTCTTTCATGGGCAATTGTTGCCAAAACAGGGCTTGTCACTGCTGTTTTGGTTGGTGGGTGTAGCATGTGCAGCCCAGCGGAGAGTGGAGTTGAAAGACCGGGAAGGCAAGGCAAAATGCCTTCCAGGAACTCTCATGGATGACGTACTCCGACTCCAAACCTGCAGAAATGGCAGAAGTTGAAGAGCTCGGAATCTCCAAAAAAAAGCTCGGCTCCGCCTGGAAAGCCCATGGACACCTGAACAGTCATAAGGCAGAGAAAGTCATAAGCTTGGATGCCAAGAGCAAACGCCTTACTCTCCGTGTTCACAGACCTTGCCACTGGCACCTGAATTCGACACACTCTGTGCTGGCGCTGGCTTCTAAGTGGCACGCTGTTCCCGCTGTCGCTGGGCCAGGGGCCAAGAGCTTCTCCTGGAAAAGAGAGGGGTGAAGAGGTGAAGAGGTGAAGAGATTTCTTTGCAAAGTTTGCCTCCAGCAGCTCTTCGGAGATGCCCAGACTGCACAGCAGCGCCTCTACCAGGAGCTGCAAGGCTCCATCCATTCTGTAAAAACCACTCAATGCCGTCATCCGAAGCTCAATACAGAACCGACGGAACCTCCCTCCAGTTTCTTGTTTGGGCGGCCAGATAAAAGTAAAAGACGACTTTAGAGGCACAAGGAGGCATTCTTGCGCTGAAACCTCCCGAAAGTGAAAGACTTAAATTTCTATCATACACCCATCCACCCCCCCCCCAAAAAAAAAAAATGTAAGCTGAGCTTAGATCTTGAAACATCAAATCCGAAGTAAGGAAGCTTTTGCTTCATCACGAGCTCAAATTAAAAATGCTTCAGTCTTAGGAAGACGCAATCACTGGGCTGCTCGTCAGATGAGAATAGGAGAGCTGATTCTCAGTAAAAACCTAATCGGAACTAACGGCTCAAACCTGGCTTCCGGAGCTGCACCTTGCCGACCTTGAGAGGATCTTTAGATTTATGGCAAGCCCTCCAGAAAAAATGGAATTCCTTCTAGCTTTGCCCTGCCTCAAGGTGTGCCTCAGGTCCCCGCCTTGGTGGCCTGCTCCACGGTCTCTTGTCGGAGGATACGCCGGCACGGTAGCTTGCCGAGCTTTTGGTCAGCTGCCCTGAAGGAGCCATGGCTGCAGGCTTCTCTTCATGGCACGTCCTCCCCACCTCAACCAAGCATCGCACTGGACCTCCACAAGAGCCCGGACCTTAAAGCCACGATTCCCCAAAAATGTCCGCCCAGCACACACGCTGAGGCTGCTGGCACTCTCGTCGATGATGGCGAGCAAGCGCAGCCTTACAAGCTTCACCTTGGGCTGTACTCTGCTCGGATTGCTCGCAGCTTGATCTTTTTGAAGAAGCCCCGACCTTCCATCCTTCCCTTAGATTTTAGTCATGCTTCCTCCCCTTCCTCACTGGGTCAAACGAATGCCTGGAGCACGTGGATGGGAGCAACTTTGCCCTGGGACGTGGGCTCGACGGCGGATGCGCTTCCCAGGCCCCAAAAGCAGCCTTGAAGCAGGAGATACGCTATCTGTTGACGAAGGGAGCACTTGAAGGGTGCCCGACTCACTTTGGCAAGTGTGGAGCTCTGATTGGAGATCCTCCAAAGTCTTGTGACCTAGCACAGTAGCTTGGATGTTTGGTGCCATCTCATTGATGCTATTGTCTGCCTTCATGGCCGTAGACACCTGGATTGAGGCCTTGACAAAGCACAAAATGCTTGCACTCAAGAACGAGGAGGCCAAGTCGATGCGAGGCCAGGGCCGCTTGCTACCAGCAGCTCACGCAGTTCCGAGGGCGCCCAGTGCCGGAGGTCCGAACTTGTGCTGATGGCCTCAACAAATCAGGTAGTAGGATTGAAGGAATCCGAGTCATCCTGGCCTCCAAGGATACGGTGGGCATCGCCTGATCTGCTCTTGCCAAACTCCTCTCCAACCTCCCCCTCCCTCGATGCTGGCCTGGACCTTGCGCTTGCTCCTGCTCCGGACAGAGTGCACCTGCTACGAAGAAGAACATGCGGCCACCAAGCTTGACGGCAGACATTTCCTGTTCTTGGCTGTCTTCCTAGCGCTGGCTTCCTCACCTGCCTCCTTTGGCAGGACATCGGCATCGGTGACAATGCTGCCATGCTTGATGACAGCCCAGAACACTTCCTGGAAGAAACGCAAACGCAACTCAAGCCAAAAAAACATGCACGTTATCCCAGCCTTGTGCTTCAACTTTGCTGCAACCTGTGCCGGTGTCTGCTCCTTGGCGTCGAGTTGTCTGTTGCAGAAACTCCTTTTTTGAGAGAAGTTTGCATGTGGAGTCCTCCTGATCGAGCACAGAGACGTCTGCGCCCAGCTGTTCGATCAGGTGGTCCCTGACATGCGAAAGCTTGGAAAGAGGAAGGAGGAGGTTGGACTCGAAGCCGTGCTTAATGCAGCATGTTTTTAAGGTGCATGAAGCATGCAGCATGTTTTGCACACACACGGCTTCGCTATGCTGCGCTGTTTTGGGACCCCGGGCGCGCAGGTGTCTGCCTGGGCCAAAACATGCACTGGGCCCTGGGCTCTGGGGTGTCTTCGCTACTTCTGATGCTTTCAAAGACCCGGGCATTCTTCTTGGCGCAGTGATGAAGCACGCCCTGCCAAAGCGTGAAGAATTGTGACTGTTATAGCGAGCGCAGCAAGGCTGCCAGGCCCCTTGGCCTCCCCGAAAAGCAGCGGTACTTCAGGCGAGAGGCCTTGCTCCTCGGAAGCGCACTCATGGCACTCAGCGCGATCTACAGCTTTTTCACATGACACGTTCAGAACACATGTCCATCTCACGCTTTTCTTTTCCTCCAGGCAGCGAAGAAGCGCTTTAGGGCCTTCAGCGCCAGTTGCCATGTAGAGACGCAGTTGCTGGTAAACAGGGCAAGGGCAGTTGTTGTCGATGGCCGAATAGATCACAAGCACATCGAAGAGCTCTGGCCTAGGTGTACTCGAGGATGATGAAACGAAGGATTGTTCCGGGACTGTCGTCAAGTCAAGGCCCAGAGATTGCGAGCATCAGGACGCTTCCATGCATGCTAAACCTTGCTGCCTTGTTCGGTGTGCTGGGGATATACGCAAGTTCAGTGATAGCAGGGCAGAATAAGCAAACCAAGCAGAAGAAGACTCAGCGCAGTGTTTATGCCTTGATCCTGGAGCCAAACATGTACAAGGTAGATAGAACTACTAATGTGATGGTTATCCAAACTGTACATAAGGTAGCCATTTAGATCTCGCAGGAGTCCTGCCCGTGGCCCTCTCACGCTAGCAAACATATTTGCAACAGTCTATGATTTCTCAATGTCACAACTCCCCAATTTTGGAGGCATACAACGCCATCATGTGAGGGTAATGCCTCCGAGCAGCAGCTTGACAGCATAATTCAGGAGCCTACCGGGCCCTACTGAGCCTCGACTCAATCCTGCTGGAAGATGCTACACGCGCGGCTTCTTGGTGGACAGCTTGAACGATGCCAAAAGGTGGAGGATACGGCGGGGACAGTTGCAGGCCAACTGTGGGGCCTGTTCCTCGCCGTCAGAATCCTCTACCCATAGTCCTCCGCCAACAACTTGCGTGATTGTGATTGGCCTGCTTGGCCTTGCACCTCAAACCCACCTTATCCCACTTCGCAGCGCTTCCTCCACGCGACGCCGCGACACTGACGCTCGTAAACTTCATGCTTCCTGGCACTGCCTTGGCCCTTCTGCAGTCGCATGGGGAGGAACAGCATGCGGTCACGGTCACGGACGAAAGAGGCGCCTTCTCTACTGCGGGAATTGACAGTAATATAGTTGGCAGTGGCATCCCCAACGCTCTATTGATGGAGGAGAGCATCCAATCACGTCACTGCCACTCGCGCGCGGCATGTTGCCTAAGTCAGCTCTACCTAACCCTTACGCCCCTCTACAGGATTCAGGGTATGAAGGAGCTATGCAGGGTTGAATGCTAAATCGGATGTCGTAGTAGCAGTCACACGAAAGATCCGTAATGAGCTCTTGGCAAGTGGTTTCTTCTTCTACTACTATGTGCTGCGTTTTGTATATGGAATGGAGGCCGGATGCCCACGCACGAAAAACACAAATCCGATGCAAAGGCAAATCTCCACCTCTGTGCTTGGCTCGGGCACACAGGAGGGAGATGTAGTGCAACCATGAAAGTTTGATGCTCACTTTTTGGGGGGCTAGACACGAATATGACTCGCAAAGCGTCTGTAGACGAACGACAAAGCTAGTTACAGCTGAGGCTGCTGACCATTTGAACTGGGGATATGCTGCAAGTTCAGTGACAGCAAAACAGAATAAGCAAGCGAAGCAGAAGAAGATTCAACGCACTCTTTTCTGTACAGCCTCGAGCCAAGCGTACACGAGGAAGCAATTCTCTAGATCCTTTATGATGCGTGCCCGCGGTCCTTTTTCACCACCACAAATATTACCGAAAGTCAGTGATTTCAAAAGCCTGTTTGGGACCATCCACACCCTCACATTGGGTCCAGACTGCCTTTCATACACGAGCTTTGGAACAGGCCTGCAGAAACTCCGGGATGGGATTCTGCAGGGTCACTCTGAGCTTGATCACTAGAGAAACACTCTGGGTTGGGCCCGTCAGGAACACTTCGTGCTTGAGTTGGCCACTGCAGGTACACTGCAAGAGGGGTTGGGCGCTCTAAGAAGATGGATGATCAGACGAAGAAGGGCGGCAATCCAGGGTCCTGTTTGCGGCCTGTTCTTCACAACTTGGGCCTCGTGAACTTGAGAACCGTGCCTACTTTCTTGACATGTCTTAGGAGGACTCTCAGAGACAGTACCATCCCCAATCCTGTAGGCAGAGCGTGGCAAAGCGCGGGCTGGTTGCACAAGCAAATCGTTTTGAAGTACAGCAGCCTGGCTCTCCCAGCTACAGATTGCTTGTCACTCAAACTGGAAATGATATCGACGCACAGCACTCAGCACACAGACTTAGCTTGCGGCAGCTGCCCGACCATCAAATCTCGGAACTTCTCCACATCGATGGAGATCAGCTCACAAAACCTGGGCAAGACGAGCTCTGCACCTGCCTAGGCTCCAAAAAACTGCGCATACCAAGGAACGATACGCAGGCGATTGTCTTCCAACTCCTGGAGAAGGGAGGAAAAGACAGAAAAGTCAGTGGAAAAGGAATGTTTAGGGCCTGTACAGGATTTGAAACAAAACGGGTCACTGTGAGAGTGCCTTTTCCACATTTTCTTGCATATCTATTAGAAATTTGAAAGTTTCCGGCCTCTTATGATTGTATGGAAAAGTGGCCAGCTTGACTAAACGGCTGAGGCCCTGAACCGGCTGGTTCCCAGGAAGAGCCGGAAGTCGCCTGTGAGCTCTTCACTGAAGTGTTAAAATGGACATCGCAATTTTCTGCAGCGCCCGGCCAATGAAGGCTCCGCCGTGAAACTGTTCTTCGGGCCTCGAAAGCCCGCTAAACCCTAAACCCTAAATAGTAGTTTCCTTTTTATTTTCCATTATCCCCGTATAACCCCTATATAACCCCAATATCACCCCAATGGGTAACCAAATTTCCCACATTTGTTGAGTTTTCTCAGTTTTCTCAACCTGGCCTCGCTGCATCCACAGCCTCAGTCTGTTCAAGGGGCAAAACTTCCACCTCTGCGAAGGCTGGCCTCTATTTCCTTCTGGATCTCCTTGGCTGCTCAGACCGGTTCGCTGCTGCTGGAAAACAAGGTCCCCTCCCAGTGCCCTAAATTGCAAGGAAGCAGCGTCGACGTCCTGGCACGCAAGCCCAGAAACAAAAGATTTCTGTGATTATCTGGGTCACTCAAAATGGCACAGCTGATTTCCAAATGATATGTAGCAGTCTGATGTTAAGAGCCGTCTCCTCGATCTCATCTCCGGTGCCTGCTCACATAGCCACGGGGACCCCAAGCATGGGGGTGTCAGGAACACAAGAAGGCCTGAGAAGGGAATGGACTTTGTGGCCGCCATCTGGGTTGTAGCCCTGACAGATTTTTTTGTTGCAAAGGCTGGCTCTTAGCACTCCCCAAAAAATGGTCCTGCCTCGAGGACCTGGAGGACCCACTACCTTAGCTGAAAACTTAGCTACGGATACAAAGAATGCCTCTGTTTTGGACCTGACAACTTTAAGGATTTGAGGATGTGACGGGTCTGCACCAGGCCACGGCGGATGTGGAAGCAGCATTTCACCTCCACTCCCTCCAGGACCAGCTCCTGACCTTTTCGGCAAAATCCGATTCTGCGTTTCAGGTTTGGTTTTCTCAAGACTCCTCAAAGAACTCAAACAAGGCTCTTGCCGGGGGGATGGAACTCCATGTCGCACAGGTCGCAGATCTGAGCCGCGGGGGGCTTCGCATGCAACAATAATGTTCACTTCACATTCAGAACTACCCCAACATTTATAAAATCCCACAGCCGCAACACAATTATGACAACCACCAAATTCGTAGAATCACCAAAAAAATGCTAGTTCTTTCACGGCAACGATTTTGATTGGATTTCAGGTAACTCTAAATAGGCTTTCAAACCTACATGTTTGGCATCCGCCGACCTTGCGGGGCGTGTTGGATGGTTTCAGTAACGGAGAGGGTGAAAACCCTCTTCTTTTCTCCCTTACAGCCCAGAAATGCGGGGGGGGGGTGGGGGGGG